TAACGATTCCTTTACTGGGTTTATTACTGCGGTGTAGTTACTCCGCTAGGAAAAAAGCTTCCCAGCGTAATCATTGGCGCCCGAGCAGGGACTTATTAAGTCCAAACGAGAAAAAAGCGTTTATAAACCATTTAAAAAAGAAAATTATAAAATTCGTAATTTTTTTTCTGTTGCGGTGGTTCTATGCGATTGAGGTGTTGTTCGCATTCTGTTGAGCTACTTTGGTTGCTGTTGGATTTTAAGAGACTGGTTGTTGTTGCTATTCCGATTTGACTTGCTGCCTTACCGCGAAGACATTGAATCGACGTTTTGTTTGCAGAGTGTTAATACAGTTGGCATATAATCCGTTTTCTGCATTCACTCTGTACCGACTAATACAAGTAGTGAGTATACAGTTCCAATCGTAGTTGAAACGACGATCGCTACTGGTGGAACTTTCCAGATTAAAAGGTAATCAGGTAAAGCAAATAAAAATAGCAAAACATTCTTTCGGCTCACGCTAAAGAAAGATGGTTAAAGGTACTAAGCGCGAACAGGATCTCTCCAAGTCGAGAGAATGTTTAATTAACTCTTTGAATCGCAGTAAGTCGTACGTTTTTAAGAACCATGCTTCAATGACTACAGCGGAACTTGAAACGCGATTAAGTTTAATAGAATCGGTTTTCTCTCAGTTGTGCAATATCCAACTATCAATCGAACAAGAATCTGTCGACGAAAATGAGTTAGATAAGCGTCAACGTTTTGAGGCAGTCAATTAAATTTTATAACTTCCAAACTTGTTGACATTCTCAAGTTGCCACACCAAGACTCGTCTACAGTAATTAGTGGTATTGGAAATACTAATTCTCCAAATAAGGGAAAAGTCAATACGTTGATAAAATCCAGAGTTACAGATTTTTGTTGTAATATAGATATGCACATTCTACCAGCTATTACTGATTACTCTCCAGGTAGCAAAATAGATATAAATAATTGGAATTTGCCAAAGAATATAAAATTAGCCGATCCTTGTTTTTACCAGCGTAGTGGAATTGACGTTTTATTGGGTGTAGTAGTATTTTTCAAACTGTTATACGTTGGACAAATTAAGCCGGCAGACGATTTGCCAATGCTACAAAAATCGTTGCTAGGTTGGATAGTTGTTGGAGAGTGCAATATGAGTTCCGAATTAAGTACTCTTTTGGTAAGTGACAAGTCTCAAGATGATAACGTGGAATTGCGCCAGTTAGTAGAGCGTTTTTGGAAATGTGAGGAGCTTTCTTCTGAATTCGTCGCTCCACTCTCCCCACTTGATCAGTTGTGTGAAGATAAATACCTCGCCACTGTACGAAAGTCGGGATGCGGTCGTTTTATTGTACGTTTACCATTCCGTGGTCTTGATTGTTCGTTAGGCAAATCATACAATGTAGCACTTCGACGCTTTTTGAGCTTAGAGCGTAAACTTGAATTGGATCCAGAATTAAAAAAGGAATATTCTAACTTCATAACGGAGTATGAATCTTTAGGACACTTAGAGGTCATGAGTGAGTCAGTTGATGTCAGCATTGTCAAGCCACATCACCCCGTGGTTCGTTTAGAAAGCGCTACAACCAAGTTGCGCGTTGTATTTGATGCATCTTCTAAAACTGATAACGGTTTCTCTTTAAATGACTATTTGCTGGTTGGAGCTCGACTTCAGCCAGACATTTTCGATATTTTATTACGTTTTCGTTCATATAGATACGTAATAACAGCAGATATTGCCAAGATGTTCAGGCAAGTGCTTATTCACGATGATGATTGTATGTATCAATGTATTTTGTGGCGTGCAGAGAAGACAGATGCTATTAGAGTTTTGAAATTGAGAACCGTAACATATGGTACCAGCTCAGCTCCCTTTTTAGCTGTGCGGTGTCTGGTTTTTTTTAGCGGAGCAGTTTAAAGACCGTTTTCCATTAGGAAGTCAGGCGATTTTGAATAATTTTTATATGGATGATATGCTTGCGGGATCCAATTCAATGGATGAGCTTATACGTTTGAAGAATGAGGTACAAGAAATTCTTAATTCAGCTAAATTTGAACTGCATAAATGGAGGTCGAATTGTGTCGACTTGCCTTAATATAAAAACTGAGGACTGCGCTAAAGCATTAGGCATTATGTGGAACTCTGGGCAAGATGTATTCTCGTTTTCATATTTAAACTTCCCAAATGTTAAATGTACTAAAAGAGTTGTTTTTTCCGACGTGGCAAAGTTGTATGATCCTTTGGGACTGGTAAATCCCGTTATTGTTTTAGGGAAAATATTTTTACAACGCCTATGGATCTTAAAATTAGACTGGGACGAGTCGTTGCCACAAGAATTAGCTACGCAATGGATGAGATTCAGAAAAGAAATGTCGCTATTAGGTGAAATTGAATTTGACAGATCATTTTGGAAAAAGGGCGAAATAATTTCTGTAGAGTTACATGGATTTTCAGACGCGTCCATGAGGGCGTATGGAGCCGTAGTATACGCTCGGGCATGTGATTCGAAAGGTAATATCACGGTAACATTAATGGCCTCAAAATCGCGTGTAGCCCCCTTGAAATCAATGTCTTTGCCTCGATTAGAGCTCCAATGTGCTGTTTCACTAGCCGAACTCATGAATAGGGTTAAAAAATCTGTTTGTATTAGTATTTCCGGTGAGTTTTATTGGACAGATTCGACACTTGTTTTGCAGTGGTTAGCATCGCATCCATCTAGATGGTCTACGTTCATTGCTAACAGAGTTAGTAGGATTCATAATACGTCAGCCGGTACTCGTTGGTATAAGATTGATGGCAAAGAAAACCCCTCGGATATTGTGTCCCTCGGCATGTACCCATCTGAGCTGAAATTGTCCCAACTTTGGTTTAAGGGACCTAGTTATCTCTCGGATCCAAAGGAATCATGGCCGATTACTAACTTTGTACCAGTGAATGTTTGTGAAGAAATGGAGGAACGTAGGTCGGAATTTGTTTTGACTGCTGGCAATTGTGATGAACGTATCGACTTGGTTTCCTCATGTAAATTTTTGCATAACTTTTCAAAATTACAAAGGGTGTTTGCCTTCATATACCGATGGCGCATGAGCATAAATCCGAAGGTCGATTCCGGCAATAAAACTTTCTTAACTGTTTCAGAATTGAAAGGCGGTTTAGAATACATAATATTTAATATACAAAATATTCATTTTTTTGAGGAGAAAGTTAATTTAAATTTAAATAAAAATGTAAATTCGGTTTCTATCCAGAAGTTAAATCCATTCTTGGACAATTAAAGATTGCGTCTAATTAGAGTCGGAGGGCGTTTAACGAAGTCAGAGCTTCCTTATGAAGTGAAGCATCCTATACTTTTGCCAGGGTCTCACAAAGCTTTGACTTCGTTAGTCGATCATATCCATAAATTGAATTTGCATCCAGGCGTTACAGCTTTAATGGCATTTGTTCGCCAACGCTTTTGGATAATTAATGTTAGAAAAATAGCTCGCAAAGTTGTTCGAAAATGCTTGCGCTGTTTCAGACACAATTCAAAACCTCTTGTTCAATTGATGGGAGATTTGCCGACACATCGAGTGATTCGAAACGCAAGTCCTTTTGTCCATTCAGGAATGGACTTCACTGGACCCATTGCCGTTCATTACAAAATAAGAGGTAAGAGGCCGTACAAAGTGTATTTAGCTATTTTTTGTTTGTTTTCAAACGAAAGCCTGCCACATAGAAGTGGTCACTGATCTGAGTACAGATTCATTCATAGCAGCGCTGAAGCGTTTCTTCGCACGAAGGGGCTTATGCTCAAACTTGTATTGCGATAACGCAACCAATTTTGTTGGTGCTGCAAGAAAACTGAGCACTACCATGAATACTGTTTTCAATGAATCTGGAAAGCGAGCTATCGATCATAAATGTACGCAGAGAGGAGTGCAGTTCCATTTTATACCGCCACGATCTCCCCATTTCGGTGGCTTATGGGAAAGCGCCGTAAAGGTTGCCAAACAGCTACTTATAAGACATACCACTGCTGCTTTTTAACCTTCGAAGAGCTGAATACTGTGGTCACCCAGATTGAAGCCGTTATGAATTCAAGACCACTCTGTCCCTTGTCGTCCGATCCTAATGACTTGGCATTTTTTAATTGACAGGGCACTTGTTTCATTGCCTGAAGTTACAAAGGAAGACGAGCTTAACATCTCTCACTTCAACCGGTGGAAACGAATTTCGGCTGTATACGCAATGTTCTGAAAAAGGTGGTCTAAGGAATATTTGACATTGATGCAAGTGCGAATGAAGTGGTTTACCAAGGAGAAAAGCGTTAGTGTTGGCACACTAGTGCTCATTTCCGAAGACAATATGCCACCCACTAATTGGATGTTGGGAAGAGTTGTTGAGACTCATAGTGGAGAAGATGGATTAGTAAGAGTTGTCACGCTCCGAACAAAGACTGGTACCTTAAAAAGAAGTATTCAACGTATATGCCCCTTGCCATTGGAATAGCCGCAATGAATTTTAATCGTTTGGAAGAGGTTTCCAAGGTGGGGACTATGTTGCGGCCTTTAACTATTAACACTATTTTTATTATTTAGTTAATTTATCGGTAAAGAAAAATTGAATTCTAACATAAAATATTACTATGGTCATTAAAGAATAATATTTGTAATAATTGATTTTCAGTGAGATATGCATAATGAGAGATACCGTTATATCTGAAACCACTGCATTTTATATTTGTTTTTGTTTTTTATGACTGCAATGAATAAAGCAAGAATGTAGAAGTAGCAAGCAATGATTGAAACATAATATGTATGCCTAGAACTAAGCAAAGAATATGAAATAAATTTAGTGTAACATCGACAAGCAAACTGTTGGAAGGTTTTTTTAATTTAGCGATTCCTTTATTGGGTTTATTACTGCGGTGTAGTTACTCCGCTAGGAAAAAAGCTTCCCAGCGTAATCAATATTAATGGTGTTTAAATGTTTGTGTGTCCTTTTGTATATTGTTTAGGCAACGCCAACATTTACACCAACCGTTAAAACCATCTCTGACCCCTCCGATTCTATGAACGGAGGAGGTCAGCCAAAAATTTATGTTGAATTCCTTGGCGGAATTAATTGTTTCCAAGGCAAGGTTTAGTACAAGCCAAGTGAACTGACAACTGGAACGGCAGCAAATTTAGTCCTATCAGTGATGTGTCCGTCCAGCACCAACCACCATTGAAGTATCCATTGTGCCTAAGTCCGTGATGTCCAAAGACCTAGAATAATATAAAACCAAATAAGTATATGCTGACCAGGTAACAATATTTAAAAGAAAAACTGATCTACTCACCGGCCTTAAGCAGCATTTCTTTTTGGAGTATCTATGCCCAGAGGCTGAGTGCTTATTAACAAACATCTAAAAAGGAGAAAAGAAATGAAACATTAGAAAATCTAAAAAAAAAATAACATCGAACTCATAAATAAGAAATTAATCGGCTACAATGTTATGTTAGTTTAAGTATATGTTAGTAGTTAGTCATTAATATATAAGATTTTATTTGTGATTGTAAAAGTTGTTAAAGCCAGATAGAATGCGACAAGTGTAGGGTTACCCCAGAAAATCCTATTAGAAATTAGTTAATTGTGGGATCGAATATGAATGTGACCACATAAGAGAGCTCTTTTGTTTTAATTTTCATGTTGTTCCTTTTGATTGTTCGACCCCTAGAGCTGATGGTGGCAGGGTTGGGAATTCACCCCTAAAGCGGTGCCCCGACTGAGCTAGATGGAACCCCACCATAAAGCCGTATCAGGTGGTACGTAACACACAAGGAGTCCTTTATGAGTATTTCACCCCCTGAAAGAGAATTGTCTATATAGGTCCACGATATCGTATATACCCCATATAACGGTACCCTCCGATATTCGATATTTTGATGATTTCAGCCAAATTTTTCAATGGAATTGTCTGAAATTCCACACAAGAGGTTCTTTGTGAGCACTTTATCCCCTGACATAGAGTTCTCTATATAGGTTAACGATATCGTATAGCCCCTATATAACGGTGCCCCGATATTCGGTATTTGGATGGTTTTAGCTATATTTTCCAATGGTATTGTCTGAAAATCCACACAAGGAGTTCTTTGTGAGCACTTTAGTTCCTTGTGAGCACCTGAAAGCTATTTGTCTATATAGGTCCACAATATCGTATATCCCCTCAATATATCGGCACCATCCGATATTAGGTATTTTAATGATTTTAAAAGAAAGTTCGCCCCGGCCAAACTTACTGCTTTTTTACTTGTTACAAATGAAATTGTATTTTTATGGAAGCTTGTGACTTTGAAACATTCTCAAACTACTTTGAAGTAATAAAAATGTTGTCTTAATGACAGTTACACAATTAAATTTACATATTTAATCTTTTTATTCAAAAATATTATTTTAATGGTCCCTCAACTGACGTATCCAATTGTTAACAAGTAAAAAAGCAGTAAGTTCGGCCGGGCCGAATTTTGAATACCCTCCACCATTTGGAACGAATTAGAAAATTTTCAAAAAAATAAAATCCATTAAAAATTCTTTTAAAATCTTTAAAATATCTAATATAGGAAGGTGCCGATATATGGGGTGGTATACGATATTGTGGACCTATAAAGACAAATCTATGTTTGCGTGTAAAGTACTCACAAGGAACTCCTTGTGTGGATTTTCAGACAATACGATTGGAAAATGTGGCTAAAATCATCAAAATACCGAATATCGCTGGGTACCGTTATATGGGAGTTATACGTTATCTTGTTGTTGCAAAATTTTTAGGCTTTATGTTTTATGTTTTTATGTTTTATGTTTTAATTTTCATGTTGTTCCTTTTGATTGTTCGACCCCTAGAGCTGATGGTGGCAGGGTTGGGAATTCACCCCTAAAGCGGTGCCCCGACTGAGCTAGATGGAACCCCACCATAACGCCGTATCAGGTGGTACGTAACACACAAGGAGTCCTTTATGAGTATTTCACCCCCTGAAAGAGAATTGTCTATATAGGTCCACGATATCGTATATACCCCATATAACGGTACCCTCCGATATTCGATATTTTGATGATTTCAGCCAAATTTTTCAATGGAATTGTCTGAAATTCCACACAAGAGGTTCTTTGTGAGCACTTTATCCCCTGACATAGAGTTCTCTATATAGGTTAACGATATCGTATAGCCCCTATATAACGGTGCCCCGATATTCGGTATTTGGATGGTTTTAGCTATATTTTCCAATGGTATTGTCTGAAAATCCACACAAGGAGTTCTTTGTGAGCACTTTAGTTCCTTGTGAGCACCTGAAAGCTATTTGTCTATATAGGTCCACAATATCGTATATCCCCTCATATATCGGCACCATCCGATATTAGGTATTTTAATGATTTTAAAAGAAAGTTCGCCCCGGCCAAACTTACTGCTTTTTTACTTGTTACAAATGAAATTGTATTTTTATGGAAGCTTGTGACTTTGAAACATTCTCAAACTACTTTGAAGTAATAAAAATGTTGTCTTAATGACAGTTACACAATTAAATTTACATATTTAATCTTTTTATTCAAAAATATTATTTTAATGGTCCCTCAACTGACGTATCCAATTGTTAACAAGTAAAAAAGCAGTAAGTTCGGCCGGGCCGAATTTTGAATACCCTCCACCATTTGGAACGAATTAGAAAATTTTCAAAAAAATAAAATCCATTAAAAATTCTTTTAAAATCTTTAAAATATCTAATATAGGAAGGTGCCGATATATGGGGTGGTATACGATATTGTGGACCTATAAAGACAAATCTATGTCTGCGTGTAAAGTACTCACAAGGAACTCCTTGTGTGGATTTTCAGACAATACGATTGGAAAATGTGGCTAAAATCATCAAAATACCGAATATCGCTGGGTACCGTTATATGGGAGTTATACGTTATCTTGTTGTTGCAAAATTTTTAGGCTTTATCCCTTTATTGTTGTTTTTATAAAAACAACGTTTGTTTATTAGTGGAGAACGATGGTAATGTTTACCAGGGGGTAAGGCAGGGAAGCATAACAAGTGGAGAAAGATGTAAATGTTTATAAGTGCGGTTGTAAGATTTAGAAGACTTAATTCTTTGGTTCCTCTTCTATTGAGCTTACGATCTCGTCACTTGGGTAAAAAATGTTTTTTGTCATAGAAGTTATTTTTTAAAATAACTTCTGGGGAGAATATCCCGGACAAAAAACAAGGGAACTGATGAGGATTGGTGGCTCTTTCCGAAACCTAGGTATTCCCTGCCTTACCCCTGGTAAACATTACCATCGTTCTCCACTAATAAACAAACGTTGTTTTTATAAAAACAACAATAAAGGGATAAAGCCTAAAAATTTTGCAACAACAAAATACTACGGTATCCCGAAAAAACAAGCCACACTGTTCTGTTATACGTTATCGTTAACCTATATAGAGAATTCTCTGTCGGGGGGTAAAGTGCTCACAAAGAACCCCTTGTGGCCATTCCGTTGATAAATGTGGCTAAAAACATCAAAATACCGAATATCGAGGGTACCGTTATATGAGGGCTATACGATATTGTGGACCTATATAAATAATTCTCTGCCGAGGTATAAAGTACCCACAAGGAACTCCTTGTGTGGATTTTCAGACAATTCCATTGAAAAATGTGGGTAAAATCATCAAAATACCGAATATCGGGGGCTACCGTTATATGGGAGATATACGATATCGTGGACCTGTATAGACAATTCTTTTTGAGGGGGTAAAATGCCCACAAGGGACTCCTTTTGTGGAATTTCAGACAATTCCATTGAAAAATGTGGCTAAAATCATCTAAATACCGAATACCGTGGGGGTATCGTTATATGGAGGCTATACGATATTGTGGACCTATATAAATAATTCTCTGTCGAGGTATAAAGTACCCACAAGGAACTCCTTGTGTGGATTTTCAGACAATTCCGTTGAAAAATGTGGCTAACATCATCAAAATACCGAATATCGTGGACCTATATAAGTAATTCTCTGCCGAGCAGACAAAAGAGAGATCTGTGCAAAATTTTAGCTTCCTATCTTAATAAGTTTAGACTGTAGCGTGATTAATACAGACGGACAGACGGACGGACAGGGCTAAATCGTCTTAGATATTTACGCTGATCAAAAATATATTTACTTTGTTGGGTCTAAAATGATTATTTCGACGAGTTACAAACGGAATGACGAACTTAATATACCCTCCATACTATGTATGGTGGAGAGTATAAAAACAAAAGTGGTTTTAAATCGAAAAAATGTTGCGATTTACATTTTCTGAAGAAGCTAAATACGAGATCGTGGAACAGGCTGTAATAATCTATAATAATAATTTATAATCTGATTCCTCATTCAGCCAATCCTCTTCACTGCTGGAATCATCCAAAAGTGAATACATCAGTTGCTCCATATTTTCTCTTTTTGTTTTTTGCACGACAAATATTAGTTTTTCCTTTACAGCCTGTTCCACGATCTCGAAAGAAAACTTGTGCGAACGAAGGCTACTCACTCACTTTCGTATAAGAATGCGTTCCACTAACTTTCGTTCTTTCTTTCGCATAGCCTTACGTGATTCAGTGTTGCTAAATATTTTTTGAAAAAAATAATCGCGAAATAAGGCAAAAAAGCGCCAAATGTCTAATTTAAATGCGAAAAAGCAACAGTGGCTCTGTCTCAACTGACAGTTCAGTTGTAAACAAACAAATTGTAAATAAACAAACAAAATAAAATTTCTAATGATTTTTCTTAAAAAATAAAAAAAAATGAATATTTCCGTAGCCCTATTTTTTATGGATGATGTGGAGGAGGTTCAAAATGTGCCACGGAGGCATTTAAGAGATGCTTCGAATTTATTTGAAGTACCTAACAACCAGTAAGTATTATTGTATTTTTACATTTTTGAAATAATAAAAAATGATTTTTTCTAGGTTTGTGGCCAATTTTCGTGTGTTGAAGGAAGCTTTTCGGACTCTTTTGGATATGATGGAAGAGAAGTGGGTGCCCGGTTGCAGAACTACCCAAATCCGCCCAGATTTAAAACTTCTTCTGCTGCTTCCAAAAATTTGCACTCCTCTGGCGAACTCAGATTCTCCTCCATATACTCAACTAGTGACCGCAGCTGTATAGTTGATGATTTTTTCGTGCTGGAATTGAGAAAATAAAAAAAATATATTTGTTGTTCACATATTAAATTGCATTCATTATTTTTACTTACATTTTTGTTTCCATTTTTAATCAAGCAATGTTTATGTTAAAACAATTTTCCTTAATTGTTATCATACGACAGCAAACACACAAGTGACTGATTTTGACATTTGTGTTCGCATGCGTACGAAAGAAAAAATATAGTGGAACGCAAAATTA